TGCATTCATCCTGTCTCATGAGACTGGACAGTTTAGAAGCAGGGTGTTAGTGAATTGTCCTGCTGTATTTCAACGTATAATGACCAAGTTCCTCGGATTGATGCGTAACAGAGTAGTATTGTCTAACATAGATGACATAGCCTCAATGAGAACTGGTGCTCAGATAATGAGGCAGGAAAAAGCAAAGACGACGTTAATTATACTATTTTAAGTTATTGCAGTAAGTGTGATATATATGCGAAGGAAAAAAAAGTGAACGAAAAGACAACTTGCTGCAAACAAGAAAAAAAAAAAACCTGTAACCTTCGATTCTGTCTGCAGGTTGCAGGCATGGTTCCGATAAACAGCAGGTTATTGTTTCATTCTTTTTACTTTCTTGACATCTATACATCACAGCTACTGGAATACACTTAAAACAGAATAATTAACGACTCCTGTAAGTTCTTCGTCGTGTGTGTACTGGTTTTTGTTGAAGCTTTGTCAAAGAAACGCACCATCGAAACATGATTTTCTTCATTTATGCACATCTTAGTGATTGTAGCAAATAAGTGGGAAGTCTTCCTGGTTCGGCTTAAAGGCGCACTGGATGATTTGTGAGCTGCCGGTGGAAATCTGCAACCAGCCAAGTGTGCGTTTGGCAGGGACGTACTCGGTTACTTAGGCTTGAAGATTGTGAAAGGTGGCCTGCAGCCAGGGGAGGTGAAGCAACAAGCCACATTTAGGGTTGGCACGCCATCTGGTGTTCACAGTCACCGCGTATTCTTGGGCCTCGCAGTATTATTCAGATGGTTCTTTCCCCAGTATGATCTGAGGGAATAGCGCTTACTTCTAGGGCCATGAAAAGCACAGCGTTCACACGAGGAGTTCAGCAACAGGAGGTTTTTGAGCAGCTCCGAAGGGTCTTGACCAACTCCTAATGATAATGTAAGCGAAGTCCAAACTGAAGGCAGATGACGTATGGTACAGGGGAGAGATGGAGATGAACGAGTGAAGTACAATTTTTTTTTATAAATCAATTAAAGAATGCACTTTTCCAATAGCATGTGAAAGACAAGAAATTTTTATCACACCAAATAACTGCATTTAGGCGACTACACAACACATCAGCAACTTTCATAAAGAAGGACAAAAATATGTTTCGTGGTCTTTGGCCTGAAAGCTCGAGTCATCAGCTTGCGTATGCCATAGGAACGTTTCAACGAAGCGGAGACATTGAAGTGATTTGAGGGAATAGTGCTTCTGTTTGAATTTTCTACGCTAGTGCACATGCAGATAAATTTGTTTGCTCTTATTTGATCATTTCTTTACGTAACAAATGCGAAACATTTCTTTGCCAGCACGCAAGCACTTTTGGTATCTATCTATCTATCTATCTATCTATCTATCTATCTATCTATCTATCTATCTATCTATCTATCTATCTATCTATCTATCTATCTATCTATCTATCTATCTATCTATCTATCTATCTATCTATCTATCTATCTATCTATCTATCTATCTATCTATCTATCTATCTATCTATCTATCTATCTATCTATCTATCTATCTATCTATCTATCTATCTATCTATCTATCTATCTATCTATCTATCTGTCTGTCTGTCTGTCTGTCTGTCTGTCTGTCTGTCTGTCTGTCTGTCTGTCTGTCTGTCTGTCTGTCTGTCTGTCTGTCTGTCCGTCCGCCCGTCCGTCCGTCCGTCCGCCCGCCCGCCCGTCCGTCCGTCCGTCCGTCCGTCCGTCAATCTATCTATCTATCTATCTTATCTATCTATCTATCTATCTATCTATCTATCTATCTATCTATCTATCTATCTATCTATCTATCTATCTATCTATCTATCTATCTATCTGCCGGGGTGCTCTCATGATCACCTCCTTCCCTGGGGGTAAATTAGAATTAGTACTGAATTTTAAGATGGTCTGACGAGTACTGCTCAATGGTCATGGCATGAATAATGTCACGAATGCTTCGCCTGTGTCGTCAAACACGTTCCGCCAAACTGTAGCACATACAACCGGGCGGGGGGGGGGGGGGGGGGGGGGGTATGTGCCACTGGTCCGCGGGTGTGTGGCTGTAACAAGCTGTGTACGGAGAGATAGAGCTCTAAACTAAACGCTCGTGTTTACGGCAAAAGAACCACGATGACTTAACCGTCATCGGTATAATAACGAGGCCGTTTATGCATGAAGAAAAGCGATGTATTTACAGAGGATGATGGAACTCTACTGCTGGTTAGGAAAAGAGAACATGTGCTAAGAGTTATTAAGAAGTGCCAAAAACCGAACGAAGCGAAGAGCGAGTACAGTGGGGGCAGCGCGAAGGTCAAGTCCCGGGAAAGGGCTGACGGCTCAACGACGCTGAGTGAGGCTCTCGATTATTGGGTAGCACCGGGGTTGTGCTGCCAGCCGCGGTCAGCAACGCTGCTCCCCAATGGGGTCGTTTACCTTGAACGCGCATGGCTCCTGCCACGTGGCGCACGAATGCTGGCTGAGGCTCGCTGTGGTATAGACGCATGGCTCGCCTGGTGGGAGCGTCCTGGTGACTTATAAGTGTGGCAGCTTTGGCTAGTTGGTATGACATGACGATAGTTATAGCGCGAGAACAGAACGACGACAGAGAGACAAAGTATCCATCGTGTCCTTCTTGCTCTTTGTCGTCGTTCTGTTCTCGCGCTATAACTATCGTCCTGGCGACGTTTCAACCAAGCCAGGACCAAGGTGGGCGGAAGGCTGGTTCGGCCCCAGGTACGTGGGCAGCTGGTTCGGTCACAGGTGCTTGGACGGCTGGCTTGGCCCCAGGTGGAAACCTGCTGTTACCTCGAGTCCGAAACCCAACAGGTCTCTGCTCCCGCGCCCTGGTCCTTCGATCGGCAGCCACGTCTACGTATCTTCGTTCCCTTCTTTCTCGGTCTCGTCCCAACGCGTCTCACATTACCGCGTGCCCCGATTCCACACGTCGTCTTCCCCAGTGGTCTCAGAGGCGCGCAGTTCAAACGCGTTTTTCGCGTTTCACTGTTCACTTGACCCCTCACATACAGCCACTTATCACAGTGACACAGGCGATTGACAGTTTATATCAACCCAGGAATGACGAGTACAAATATAGATAATTTTAACGCGTGAGAATTAAGAAAAATCTGTCATCGGCGGCGTTGACCCGACGAATCTGAAGAAAAAAAATGTCAGGGTCTCCGCGTGGCAACCAAGTATTTTACTGCAGAGCCACGCCAGGTATCGCTGCTGCTTTCCAAATAAACCGAAATATCCCTGAAGCATGCACTGAGGATGCAATGACGGCTAATTTTTATAAACATAGTGCATATGTACTCCTAAGATACACCCGTCACGTCGGGTTGAGATTAAGTGTAGCGAAGTGCAATGCATTGAAGGCGATTGGCAGTTTATAAAAAAACCAAGGAACGGCATTAACAGACATTGGTAAAGTTGAATGCAACACCGTTAAGACCAATTAGTGCATTTCAATGAAGTGCATGATGTGAGTCGGCGAAGCTATAGGTCCCAAGACCAATGATGTCAATGATGAAGACTCCCAGTAGTATAAAAGACGGAGAGACGGACACATGACTGACGGAAAGGTGGATGTATGCACGGATGCACGGGCGATAGAACACATGGACGAACGGACGGACGGACGCATGAATGGACAGACGGATAGATGGATGGCACAGGTGATCATACACTCTACTGTCGTATAGATAATAATGTCGTATAGATAATATGTGCGCATTAAGTAGGTTCTGTACACATGTTTTGTTTGTTGTGGAGGTGCTCACTATCGGTTTGGATTTGGTGAGTCGTCATGAATGCCAACTAGGTCGGCCTTATGGAGCTTCTGTTTCAGTTTATTCCGCTTGTTTAAACTGAAATAGCTTCGCCCCTAAAGAGCTCACTGTGGCAACGTTGACCCGACGAACGCGCAGTACAAATATCATGATCCCAGTAGACATCTAACACCAGCATTGTACGTGGCCATCAAATATTCTACCACAGAGCCACGCCAGGTTTCGCAACTTGTTTTCAAGTAGACCGTATACTGTTCGTGAAACGTCAATTGTGATTGCAGTGCTGGCTATCCAATCTTATAAACAGTACCATGTGCTCCTATCATACAGCCTCCATGACGACTGTAGTTAAGTTCCGTGCACTGAAGCTCAGTTATCTATCAGTGTCCAAAGCCGCCATCCTCGATGGCACAAGCGCTACATATCAGCTTACCGCATCTGGTATTGCTAATACCCATGTTGCTGTTGGCATCGTCATGCAACAATCAACATGTGACTGTTCAACATATATCTGTGCACACAACATTTGCACATATCATCGGCATCATTACGGAACCTTTCACTTCATAAAAAATTACAATAAACTCGTTTTCGCTCGACATGCTTCACATGGCACCGATTCCCAAAGCACCTAAGATCTACCGAAGTTTTTTTTCTTACCAACTAAATACTTTCTAGCTTTTTTTAAAAAACTAATAGAAATTGCATATTCATTCTCTACAATACATTGCAGAGGAATGGCGTATAATGAATGACCTAATTTTTTGTGATATGGGTCCTGTAAAACAGCTTAACTCAGGGGTTGTTTTTGAAAGAGATCGTGTATGCACCTTATAAGTGCCACAGATTTGTGCGAAGTGACCAGAAGAAATTAAATTATAGCAAAAAATATTTTTGCGACCGGGCTTTTTATTCATTATTAACACAGTATACATTGTGCGTTACTACCAAATAAGGTTGAGTGGCGAAAAATCACTTCATACAGGACCACTACCGCTGTTATAGAACTTCTTTCTCTTTTTTACGGCAGCGCTAAGATAGTAAATTATTCGACGGGAATTTCCGACCAAAGGCTCATTACGTCACTTCCAGCTGTCTTCGAAGTGATGTACCGCTTCATCTTAGCTACGTGCTCATCACTGAAATGCTCCTTCCAATCACCTACGACACCCTTTCTAGCGAAGTCTCCCTTCATGGGTTTTGCAAAGTATGCCTTGAAGGCCTCGAAACCCTTCACCAAAGCCGGGTGCCACTCTTTCATTCTCGAAGGACAGGTCAGTTTTATCGAGAACCCTGTTGGTCAACAGAGTCGACTTTCGTCTTGACGGCGTCGTACTTAGAATTCAGGGAATCTTTCATACTTTCGAACGATACGGCGTTTATGATTTTTTTCAGCAGGGCTTCATCAGCTCGCAGTTTGGCTCCGTAAGCATCGCCCATGAACTCAGCAACGCGAAGTATCGAAGCCCTCGGGTCGTGCTTGATCTCCTCGAAGGTGAGGAGAGAACGTTAGGATCGTCGCGATGCCCATACCACGACAAAAGGTGGTCGAAGTAGTCCCCAAAGTCCACTTTACCGTCGACGAACTTGTCGAGGAAGTCATCGAACGTGCCGTCCTCGTAGTGGTACACTGCGAAGTTCTTGGTATGGTGGTAGAAGGACACGCAGCAGTCATACGGGTTTCGAGCAACGTAAATGTACTTGGCGTCGGGCGAGTAAGGATTTAGCCAGAAGGGCAGGTGAGTCTTGAACGCTCCGGGCTTGAGGGAGTGGGCGGCGGCGTCGGCTCCTTGGATCTCGAGAAAGGGCAGGCGCAGCACAGCGTCCGTCTTGTCTTCAGGTATGTTGCCGTCGGTAAGGATGTTGTAGACGATCTGCTGCATCCACGAGGTGCCGCACTTAGGGATACGTTACGATGAACAGGTCTCCTGGTCGCGGCTCGTAAGCGATGGTTGATCGCACGGCGTCTTCTGGAAAAGCCTTGCCGATGTAAAGACCCTCGATGTACGTGAAGGCGTCGGTTGCCATCTCAATATTTCGAAAGACCACTCGTATAGGGTACCCTGCTGCCTGGAAACCTGCGAATTAAGGGATGTGCAGAGAAGTTTTATAGGGTAATTGGACGTACACAGGAAGATCAGCAAGTCTGCTAATAGGGGCATGTGGAAAAATCTCCAAATTAGAGTAAATTCAACAATCTATAGAGAAGTGACTGTGGAATGCATGAATGCTTTTTTGAGAAGACTGCCTAGTTCTTTTTAAATAGGGTTTTCTCACAGAAGAAATAAACCCAGATACTAGCGCCACAAAAGCAGCGTACTTTTTCTTCAGGAAGGACATACTTGCGAAATATTTTTGTGTGCAATGTGTGAAATACTTTTAACGAGTCAGCAAGCTTGCGCATTTACACAAACTGCAGTACCGCTGACAGCAAAACAAGATATAACTTCAGGAGCAGATGGAGAGTGGGAGTCACGACGAAAGGCATAGTTGAACATAGAATGTCCCTCTAAAAACGGTCTGTGTTCAATAATTTTTTCTAGTTCTGCAGGCTTCATCCTAGCTCATATTTGTTGGCGGACGCCATATGCGCCATATGTTGGCGGACGCCATATTTGTTGGCGGATGTCATATGCTTCCGTTGCAATAAGCCCCGCTAAAAAGAAGACGAGGCCTATAGAAACTAGAGACGAGGTGGCTTGCTTCGCACCGTGACGTACAAGTTTTAGCATAATTTGCTCAAACGTGGATCTGCGTGGGTGGTGATTTGAGGGCGGGATGCACTGCCAATCATGTTCAAACTTGTGTATATTGTTGCGTCAACGTTGCTTACTTATTTCCATTCTCATGTAATCATGTATATGTGGGGCAGGTGGTGTGGTGCTTCGGTGTAAAATTAAGGGAGGACCATCATTCTTTGAAAGGGCTAGTGGGTGATTCCAACGCTGGGAAAGTCTGGCCAAGCCCATGAGCCGCTGCGCGGGATTGACGGACGACCCGAAGTTGGTCGGACAGGCGGGAGCTACGAAGGAGTGACTCCCATGTAGCAGGTGTGGTATAGGGGTTTGTTTGCATTGTCTCGCACTCTCAGAACGTGTGTACAAGCGTGGATACTTCCCCACATGCAGGGCAAGTGCCATTGGCGAACTCCTCGGGATAGATGGCGTATAGGATCCTCAGGTTAGGGTACACCCCCGTCTGCTGAGTCTGAGACTGAGGGCCTGGGGCATAATAAGTTTGGGGTGAGGGAGTAGGTACCCTCTTTACGTGAGCTAAATGTACTTCGTTATTTCATTGTACGTGCCAGACCCACCCATGTGAGCTCTCATTTATAATTTCATTGCCGGCAGCCTGGTTAGACGACAATTTGTGGCCTGCTTCTGTTTTGTATAGCCACAGGAGCCAAAAAGCACAGTCACTTGTTGAGCTGGTATATACCTTAAATACATTGCGAGCATGTGTCTGGCAGGCGTCGGTGACTTTGCATAATAAAAATACCCTTTCTCAGAATGTCTTAAAGGAAATGGCTGGAGTGTGTTTTGGAAAACCAAGAGCCGGTCTTGGCAAATTTTTCCACGCATGCACTGTACGGTCCTGTGTTTTATGCGTACATCTGTTTTTGTTTTTTGCTGACTGAAAAACTTATTTGCGGGTCAGCGTTTATTCTTGTAAATCTTTCTGTGTGTTTCATATCGTTTTTAAGCCATTTATTGAGATGGGTTTGTAGCAAGTAGCCAAGCCAAGGACACTTCTCCAACATCACATGTCTTAAGAAGGTGTAGTGGGCAGAACTATAGTTGTAACGCGAACGCTTCTCATCCTAGTAGAACAAAGTATAAAGAATTTGCGGAAATGTTACACATTATTTATTCGAATATTATGTAGCGATTAAAAAAAAAGTGATTTGAGAAAGCTTAAGAAATGGGCCCCTTGAAACAAGCTTTGCGGTTTTTCAAATTCAGAGGGTAACCAGATAGACATTGAATGAATTCGCGAAATGAACAGTTGGCTTAGGAAAAGGCGACCAGCAAATCTCTTATTGTTCATGGACTTTCTCTTTGCTACCCTTGAATCACATAGCTTTTGTTTTATACTGGTGTCGGGCTGTACAATGTTGATCGTGGTTAAGCCCGATTGGAATCGAATTCATAAACAGTGTTGGCTAACTTTTACAACTGGCGTAAAGTAGTCAATTATAATAAATCTCTCAAACCGGATCAAGGCTGGCCGATAGTAATCAAAGTGACTGTGTAACACAAGGGTAAGGTTTAGTTGAGTCTCATGGTTAGCGATGAAGAAGGGAAGAGGAAAAACGGAACGGGTGAATTATGAAGGCTATTGCCTAAACTTTTCGATAGCTTTGATGCACAGACTAAGCAAAGGTACGGAATAAAATAGGACGGTAAGATGTTTTGTTAGAAACTCACAAAATTCTAGGCACAGGAACGTGAACCACTGTAGCAGTAGTGATCTTAGGTTTTCCTGAAGAGCTTCCAGAAACGAGTGCACAGCATGAAGCTCAGGCAAGGCCCTCCGTTCAGCGCAAGCAGGCTCATGGCTACTAAGGTTCTTATCAGAAGGGCCCAGCTGTTGTTTTCGAATGTACTTGCCCTATTTCAACCCGATGACCTCTTTGACCGAATCGATATCCGCGCAGAAAGCTGTTTGTTTCAAATGAAACACGGCTCGCTTGTGACAATGCCCACTTTAAGTATAGGCTTCCAGTTGAAAGGAAGACGTCAATCGAACACGAATACGAGGCTATGGCCTTATCATTCATGCGCTCGTATAAAACAGATTTCAGGAATATGTCTCTTAAGGCATTAATAGCATGGGGGCAGGTGCGTGCTTCGATGCACAAGGATGACGTTGCTGCTGATGGTGCCCTATTTTCTTTTTCAGTGAAGGGTGAACTGAGCCAATGGGTATGACTTTTTCATTTATTTATGTCAGCTCCTGCCAACAGCTGTTGGCGCTTCACGGTAGGTCTCTAACAAATTCAATGGCACAAGTATGATATGCATCTACAGGCTAGTACTTTTACAACTTGACGTGCCAGTGTATATATGCCAAAATATTTCATGCGAAATGAAGAAAATTAATGTAGTACGAAAGTAATTGTAAACACAAAGGACACATACTTTAGACGACCACAATAGGTAAATTTGCTGCTGCTACGCCGTGAGGCACTTTGAAGCCATATTTCAGTAAAACGTGACGAGACATTTGCTGGTTATCTCTAACAAAATGCTCGAAGCTACAATGATGGTGGAAGTGGTTCCGACCGAGATGTCGCTTTGGAAAAGAGTTTTTAGTTCTCTTTGTGATTGTCGTAATTATCTTCTCAGAAATTGGAATAGATTATTCACCACTGCGCTATAATCTTTCTAGGTGCAGGACCCCGAAAGGAAATGAAATGAACTGAAAACTTGAAGGTACGACGTAGAGATCAATTCTGCTTACATGTGGCGTAACTTTGCAGCATCTTACGTTCTCTGTAACATTTGAAGGTGAAAGTCCGCTGCCTAGCACTTGGCAAAAGCTAAGGTTGTATTAAAATTCGTGGTTATATAAGCAGTTTAGCTAATGTACAACCAAATCTTTCTGCGCGCCTAAACCAACACTCTCAACATTGGTATGTTTCGAGGCCATGAACTATAGCTATGGTTGTGAGGCACTGTGCAATTGTTTGCCTAATGTTCTAACTTTGAAACTACATGTGAAAATATGCCACTTTTTCCAATACTGATATTTTGAGTATGCTTCGCTAAATATGTCAATATTGATATTTCCTTTTTTTTCCCACTTTTTCCCCAATGTATAGCATGCATAGTTGGTTCAAATTGAGTCTTGATTTGCCTTGCTTGTACCGTCGTGTTCCCAGAGTGCATCTGGGACATGGGGCGTTGTCAAGCCGTTTCATGCAGCTTTTTTTCTCTGTCTCAACCACTTAATGTATGTGGTAAACAAACTGAACGCAACTCAATTCAAAGCATAAAGGTATACCAATATATGCTGTATCTTTTCTCACCCTTGCTCAACCGCGGTGGTCTAGTGGCTAAGGTACTAGGCTGCTGACCTGCAGGGCGCGGGTTCGAATCCTGGCTGCGGCGGCTGCATTTCCGATAGAGGCGGAAATGTTGTAGGCCCGTGTGCTCAGATTTGGGTGCACGTTAAAGAACCCGAGGTGGTCTAAATTTCCGGAGCCCTCCACTTCGGCGTCTCTCATAATCATATAGTGGTTTTGGGACGTTAAACACCACATATCAATCAATCAATCAATCAAGCCGGAGGTCTAGAGACATCTAGTCTTACTCTGTATACTATCCAATACTGTGGCGACACAACCGTCCCGTATTGACGCGATAGGCTATCGCAACAGTTGTGATGTTTTGTGTCGCGCCTTTGTCTCGTTTTCGCCCCGATGGATCACGATCAAACACGCGACAATAGAAAACAGGCGAGTAGTTATGAGTCAAGGGCGGAAGTTTGTTGCAGTGCGCCCTTTCTAATGAAGTCAATGTAGAGAGCAGACTTTCCACAATACTGCCTTCTTAGCAGACTAGGGTTGGCGGCCTCACACCTCCTCACGGCCCCCTATAGGTATAGGTGTGAGCTACCCGTCAGACGAGGCCGTGATGGCCTCGTAAACTGATTTTTCTGGCGCCGATGAGCAGGGGTCTGGCCATAATTTTTTTTTCCCGAAGGGCGGTGGGCATGAAGGGAGGTTCAGTCAACCATTATTTATATTGCTTCATGTGCTTGTACGAGCACGTGTGTGTGGCATGTTTTTCAAAGAGCAAAATAAAAATTGGCCCCGTATCTGCACATTTCTGCAAATGTCGTCGAAAGACTGAAATGATAGTCTTGCGTGTAGAGAGAGTAAACAAGACATTTATTTGATGTTCTGCGCAAGAAAAATGGTGAACAGTATTCTGGAGGCGCGGCGCTAGAGTGCCTTAAGCGTGCAGCGGAGGCGAACGAGCGCATCAAGTCACGTCACACGTGAGACACGAGCACCATATGGCACTTTTCTTAGAAAACAAAGCGCGTGGCTTTGAGACGGGTGTACGCGCCCATCTCAGAGGTGATAAGGTGTAGAACGCAAGGAGACGGTAGGTGCCACCACCGTCTCGTCTTGGCAAAGCGTTGGAAACGCTCCCCGTTCCGTGCAAGCGTTGCATAGTCAGCGCGGCGGGATAAGCGCTACGGTTCTTAAAATTAGTTATGTATGCCTTTTCTAGTAAAAGACGCACATGCGTATATATACGTGTTCTTATGGTGCCCCAGACATGCGCAATAGCTGCTTTTTAATTGACGATTGCACAAGCATGAACGCTCAATCTTGAACAACGTTGGTGGGCGCTGCGGATGGGGTCGACCGTTTCAAGCACCCAGTTCCGTTAAGAGTGGACAAACAGACAAATGTACAGACAGACATACATACAGACAGACCAAAATGTTTGCGTCGAAGGTGCCCAAGAAATCCTTTCTCACCCTTGCTCCACCATGGTGGTTTAGAGATTATGGCACCAGACGGCTAAGCCGAAGGCCATAAGACCACATCGCGGTGGCAGCGGCTGCATTTTCAATGGTGGCGAGCATGTTTGAGGTCCGTTTGCATAGATTTAAGGGCGCGTTATGGAACTCCGGGTGGTCGAAATTTCCGGAGAACTTCACTACGGCGTCTCTCATAATAATATCGGGGTTGTGGGACGTTAAACCACAAATATTAAGATTCTCCACTCTTCGCGCCAGTATTGAATCAAGCCTGGGGTCTAGTGACATCTAGTCTTGCTCTGTATAGTATCTAATCCTGTGCCGGCTCAGCCGTCACGTATAGACGCGATATTCAATCGCAGCAGTTCTGATGTTTTGTGTCGCGCCTTTGTCTCGTTTTTGCCCCGATGGATCACAATCAACCATGCAATAATGGGAAACAGGGGAATAGGTATGAGTAAGGGGCGAAAGTTTGTTGCAGTGCGCCCTTTCTAATTAGGTGAATGTAGAGAGCAGACTTCCTGCAATCCTCCTTCCTTAGGAGACTGAGGTTGGCGGCCTCACACCTTTTCATGGCCCCCTAAAGGTGTGAGCTACCAGTCAGTCGAGGCAGTGATGGCCTCGTCCGCTGATTTTGCTGGTTCCGATGAGCAAAGGTCTGGCCATACATTTTTTTTCGCGAGGGTGGTGGGCATAAAGGGAGGTTCAGCCAACCATAATTTATATTGCTTCACGTGCTTGCATCAGAGGGCGTGTGTGGCATGTTTTTCAAAGAGCCAAATAAAAAAAAATTAAGCTAGGCTCAGTATTGCAGGAACGCAAGCCACGCCTGAGCTTTTTTTAACATTTAAAACGTATTATGTAAAGTTGGGACAGTTGCCCAATTTGTCGTGAATTAAAAGAAGATTAGCAGATGGGACGTACAGTGGGAATCGACGATATGCGAAGCACAAATGAGGAAGGTTGATATATCACTTCAAAATCAGCACAACGTTACTAGACGGACGTAAATGATATCGCACATGAGTTACATATCATTATTATGACGTTTGTGCTAGCATTTGTGTTGATCATCCATTCACGTCCCGTAATACACATGATTTTGATTGATTTGTGGAGTTTAACGTCCCAAAACCACTATTTGATTATGAGAGACGCCGTAGTGGAGGGCTCCGGAAATTTTGATCACCTGGGGTTCTTTAACGTGTACCCAAATCTGAGTACACGGGTCCCGTAATACAAAACTTGGTATATTTGAAGCTAGCGAAACGGCTGTGAGCGCACTATGAGCGTAGCATGTAGTAATGTTTTACGGAACGAATGTCATGATTATCATGTTTGGACGAGTCATTTACAATCTTCGTCTAGTCGCGTCACGTGATACCAAAGTTGTTTTATGTGAGACTAGCGAAACGACCGCGAGTACGTGGTGAGCGTAGCACGTAGTCGTCACATATTACTAAATTTGGTATATGTGAAGCTAGTGAAACTTCAACCAGACGACAGTGTGTTTGCAGGAGCATGAATTTCAATTGCTATGCCGCATATGCTTTAGTTTTTGATATGCTTCAGTTTTGATATGAGCTGCTTCGCGATGTGCGCAGCCGCGTTTGTGACGCATGTACCACATTTCCCCCCACAATTTTTTCGTAAATAAATAAGTTTGTAGTGAGCGTTCTATCATGTCTACTTGTTTCCTGTGTCCCGTCTTTACTTGCGCTCTACTTTTATTTTATATATTTAGTGAAATGGTCACGAGCGCATAATGAGCGTGGCACGTAGTCATGTTCTTACATGACACACATGTCATGATTATCATGGTTGCACCATCCATCCTCCGTCATCAATTCACGTTACGTAATACCAGATTTAGTATGTGAAGCTTGCGAAACGACCACGAGCGCATTGATGAGCGTGGCATGTGTCATGTTATTACATGCCACACATAGTATGATTTCCAGGTTAGGGCTTGTCACTTACGTTCGCCATGCAGTCATGTCATACCATACCAGTTTCACAATATGTCATATGATAAAACCACCGCAAAAGCAGCAAGACCAGGACATGTAAATGATGACATTATTGGTATAAATGTCATGATTTTGAGGTTATGACTTGCGACTTATGCTCGTCATACAGTCATGTTATGCGATACCAATTTTAGTGTAGATACCATTATCGAAACGGCCAGGAGAGCTCAAAGTCATAGGCGGCTAGATAGACAG